TTCTGCGCGATAAAAATTTTTTGAAATATTGATTGCATTTTGTGAGCATTAATATAAATGAATTTTATATTTGTATGTTACAGACAACTAGCTTCGATAGCAACAACTCCGCTGTTGCGCATCAGTGCCGGTGAGTGAGAAAAACTTTTATTTAACTTTAAGGTAACGGATTCGTAGATATTGTAGATGTAGATTGTAGATTGTAGATTGTGAATTGTAGACTAAGTCCGTTGCCTTAAAATGGATGAGCTAGGATAGATTAAATTAAATAACTTTTAATAAATTCTTTCGAAATGCTTTGCATCTATTGCGAAAATATGTTGAAGTATTAATTTAAAAAAGAGAATCAAGAAATGAAAATTTTTTTGTAAAGACTTGACTAGTTTATTAAATTAAGAGCACGCATTAATAATTTTAACAGTTTTATCAATTTTTGATACTACTTTATTCTTATAACGCGCACTTATTTTATTCTAATTTCTTATATCATAACTCATCCATTGTAGAATTTGTTTGTAGATATTGTTTTTAAATTTTACTTTAACTTAAAATAAAGCCAAACGATTAATTAATTAAATAATTTGTAATATCATAAAATTTATACACATACATGAATTTTATATTTTATTAGAAAATATAGTATATAGAAATTTGTAGTAATTTGGCTTTATTTGAGTTAAAATAAAGTTATATTCAAATATTTAAAAAACGATCGTAAAATCGAGCGATCGTTACGATGAGCGTGAAATATTTACGCTCATTTGCCGGTAATTAATCGGCAAAAGAAGGAGTGTTTATCTCCTTTTTCGATCTCTGATTAGAGATCGAGGGAGAAAGTGGCCAGAATCAACGAAAAGTCAACTGGCCTGAAGAAAAGCTTTACGTACAATAATACGTAATGTCGGATATTTATTCACGCGGTTAGGGCATGAGGTTAGAGAATGTAATTAGGGCGTAGGAACGTAATTAAAATATACGTGATTAGAGATAGGCTTTCCTCGAATAATTTCACTTAATCGAGAAATAGGATTGTTAGGGCTATTAGATGATCATTAAGATTTTTTAATTTCCCATTCAAAAAGTAGAGGATTGTTAGGGCTATTATGTGATTAATTTAGCTGATTTTATATTATGTATCTTTTAAGGAATCAGGAAATGTAGGTTTAAATAATATTAGGGAAAACAAATTAATAAATATTTCAATAATTACGAGGGTCGTTTGATAAATTTGGTAAAAAAGCACGTAAAACACATTGTTTTGGAAAAAATCTACGTTATTTCTCAACATAGTCTCCATTGAGGTCTATACACTTGGTCGAACGAGATTCCAATTTTTTAACTGTCGAAAAAATAGACTGTCTCAAAACGAAATACTCGTTGAATTTCACGGAAATTTACCAAACTTATCAAACGACCCACGTATACTATTAATATTAAGAATTTTTAAAGAATCAATATTTTTTGAGTGTTTTTTTATAGGTATTTTATTTATATAAGGATGAAAATTAAATTGCTAACACTCAATAATTTGTATAGTAACACGAATTTTTTTGCGAAATTTTATATACTTATGTAATACGAAATTTATGTACTTTTATGTAATACGAAATTTTAAATGAAAAATTTAAAATACAAATTTATATATTAAGATATTTTTTAGTAACATGGATAATAAATTTAATATATTTATGAATTTATAAGTCATTTTTAAATATAGGAATTGAAAGATTTAAAATAAATAAAAAATGAGTAGAATTTATAGAAAAATATTTATTATTAAAATTTAAAAAAAATTTTAATTTTAATAATATTTTTAAATAATAACTTTTAGAAAATTTATATATTCATTTATTTATATATTTATGGTTTTAATTTAAATAATAATTTTTATAAAATTTTTATATATTTATATACTTATGTATGTTTAAGGTTTTAGTTTAAATAATAATTTTTATATAAAATTTATATGTTTATTTACTTATACATATATGTTTGTGTATTTATGTATTTGAAATTTTAATTTGAATAATAATTTTTATAAAATTTATATATTTATATATATATTTTAAGAGTAATTTCATTAATTGTATTTCATTAATTATATATTTTAAGAGTAATTTCATTAATTTTATTTATATAAATTTATCTATACAGCTTATATTATTAAAGTTTAATATCGAAGATATTAAGAAAATTATTTTTTTTTAGATATTTGTGAATATATATTGAATGTATATAATATTGTTTTTAGATATTTGTGAATATATATTAAATGTATATAATATTGAATATAGTGAATATTATGAATATGTATTGTATATATATGAATAGAAATTTAATTATATGTATTATATATTATTTTTATAATAAAAATATAATGTTTTATTATTAAACTAAATAAATTAAAGAAGTAAAATGAAATAAATCATTAAAATTTTTTAAATATTCCTTTTAAGAAATAGGATAGGATAATTTGTTAGGGCTACTCCATATAATGCTCTTTATGCACATGGTTCCGGGGACTCGAACGTTGGAAGACTAAGGGAAGGCGCGTGGGGTTTTTAGTTGGTAGGTCCCGCCGTTAGAATGGCGGCGGGGAGAGCCCAACACTACCCCGACGGGACCGCTAAATAGCTAAATAGCGGTCCCGTCGGGGTGTGCATAAGGAGCATTTTCCCCACGTAAAAAAAAAAAAAAAAAAAAGGATTGTTAAATTATTTTGTATTACATTTCAAATTATATTATATTTTAATAATAAAAATTCTAGGACCAATAAAACGAGCTAATTACTAAGGTCTAAATAAAATAAAAACAAATAGTTATAAGTTTGTTTAATTAAATAATCACAAAAACGTAAAAAATATATAAATATGACATTGAATGTATAGAAAAATATTTATTTTATCTTTGAACATTACATTTGAAGATCACAGTATTTTTCGGGATTGAAGTCAAATTTTAACTTCTTACTTTGTGATACGACATAAATAGATATGAATCAATTAATTAAATATATATTATATTTAAATTTTTCGATATTAACATATCTTTCGAAAAGAGATAATATATTTGTATTTATGTACATATAGAATATATATACATATGTATATGTAATTCCAGCGCGTGTATTTCATGTAATGTTTTAAATTGAATATATATATATATATATATATATATATATATATATATATATATATAAACATAACGCAGATATTTCAGAATAAAGTTGTAGCGTCATACTATATATACATATATATATTATATGTATGTGTTTATTTGTGTATGTGCAGAGAGAGAGGGGGGGGGAGGGAGAGAAAGGACCACAAAATGTATTTAAAAAATTAAAATTAAAAATTTATTTATATTTATATACATATGCGTTTTGCTATACAGCACTGATGGCATTTCGTGAACTACAGGCATTTTTTACATAGCACGGAACAGAATCAGAAATTGTGCACACATATGTTACCCTCTGAGAACTTTCGTGGACTTTGGCTTTGTAGTTCATGTCCACTTTTTCAATGTCCATAGAGGGAGTATCGCTTTCAGGGATCACCTAAAAGCAGGCTGTGACATCTCTGAGTCTTCTCTCTGTCTATAATATATTTCTGATCGCTAAATTGTGGATATAGGACATGAACCAAACGACTGTTTTATCATGGCACCGAAAAGTGTATGTGGCCATGTAATTCCAGGCGACGTAAAATGGATATACGCGCCGCTAGTGTAGACGTAGTAAAAGCGTTTCACGAAAAGCACAGCGTGACCCTTCTCTCTGACTTACGAATTTAAATAAATGCATAACAGTTACGTCTAATTATTATGTATATCGTGGTTGTTCGTTCACGAAATAACTCTGAAACACCCTATATGTAGCTCTTAAAATAATTTAGAAATTTAAAAAATGAATAAAATAATCCAAAGAATATAAAATATCATATATGAATATTAAAATAAAATAAAATAAAATAAAAAATTTATATTATATATATGTGTGTGTATATTAAATTAATTAAATATTTAATTATTAATTATTAATTATATATTAAGAGATTATATATATATATATATATATATATATATATATATATGCACGTTTCTTTATTCATTTTTTTGATTAATTCCTAAATTATTATAAAAGCTATATATACAGGGTGTCTCAGAATTATGTGAATTAACAATCATGGACAATCGCGAGAAGAATAAAAAACTGTTCGCTAAAATTTTATTTTCATCTTTAAAGAAATCGACACTGTTTTATATTCCTTGTACCTGGTTTCTTCAACGAATTATTTATCAATGAAAATTAAATCTTTACGCGAGCTGTTATTTATCTTATATAAAAACATTTTTTCTCTCTTTATTCTCCTACTTAAATAAATAATTTAACATGGTTTTTTTTTGCATTTCTATGAATTTTACTGACGAACCAAAACTGATTAATGATATTCATGCTTCGTAACTATTTTTTAAAAAATTGATATTGATTTACCCTCTCATTCAGTTCTTATATTCGATTTTTGCAGAATATTATCTTAAATATTAAATTATTTATTAAATTATAAGATTTAAATTATATGCTAATTACACGCTCATAATACTATATATATATCCTTGTTTCATACATAGTACTAATTATAATAATTATAGTATGTACAATAAATATAACAGCATATATTGCTTCTTTAATATAATATTCTCTTGTCTTTCTCTTCTCTATACATGCATATCTTTTTTATCAAACATTTCAATGTGGAAACATATTTCTTCGTGGAAACGGAAAAAAAGTCCCGCATTTTATTCCGTTCCGTTTAAACGAGCGATTGTCAAGTAACTGTCAAGTGATTAATTCATCTATATATCTATCTCTCAAGCGCGGAACAGCTGACACGAACGCGCGCATCGACGTCGCTTCCAAGTATCGTTCGCTCGAACTATGCGAGTCGAGGAGAACGAGCCGTGGAATTTGCAAGTCATTCGAGTCATCTACGGTCACGATTGCTGTTTCACGGTCGGTCCTAGACGACGAAAAGACACGAAATTCTCTCCTCGCCACACCTTCCTACCGTCGATCGTTGTTTGCGAAATTTTTCACGCGACGCAATTAAACATTTTACGATGTATCGGTATATATCGGTATAGATTCTCTCTTTCGCAAATTCTATAATAATACAGAAAATCTCCTAAAATCTCGTAAAGGTGAGAAATTTACATTTTAAATATGTATGTGTCTATCTTTCATTCTGGCGTCTCTCTCTCCACTTGACATCCATATAAATTTGCCACCATATGTCTCCATCAATACATGGCACACCATGACTTTTGATAGTATAATTGATATATTATTTTAAATTTTCACCGATATTAGATTTATATGAAATTTTCAGAAAAAAGTGTTTTCTTTTATTTTACTTGAAATTTTATGGAAACGCAAGAAAGTATACAGGGTGTTTCAGACCACACGTACTACCCATTTAAAAACTAGAGAAGTGGATATTTCAAAAAAGTAGAAGTAGTTCTTTATAAATCGGTTGCGCTCTATCGAATGGTGATATTTTCAACTTCTGGTTCCGGCCGGAAATAGGCGATTCAGACCGGAAGTGCATTTTTTTAAATGGAATCCTCTATTTTTCATTGCATATTCTTCTAGCTTATCTCGAGAGCTTTACAAAACACTATCATAAATTACTTTTCTATAAAGTACTTTTTGAGTTATGAGGCTTGAAATCATTTCTTAATTTTACATAAATCATAAAATATCTTGTAAAATATTCATTTTTCGATTATCTTACCTTAATACTTTTATGTACAAAATAATGAGAGGAATCAATTGGTATAATGAAAACATACAATTGTTTTTAAGAAAAAATATGGAATTGTTAATTGCAAATTAGATATTTTTTCTTAGAAACAACTATGTGTTTTCTTTACACCAATTGATTTCTCTCATTATTTTGTACATAAAAGTATTGAGGTAAGATAACCGAAAAATGAATATTTTACAAGATATTTTATGGTTTATGTAAAATTAAGAAATGATTTCAAGTCTCATAACTCGAAAAGTACTTCATAGAAAAATAATTTATTATAGTGTTTTGGAAAGCTCTCGAGGTAAGCTACAAGGAACCAGAAGTTGAAAATATCACTATTCGATAGAGCGCACCCGATTTATAAAAAAAATGTTTTTATTTTTTTGAAATAACCATTTCTCTAGTTTTTAAATGGGTAGTACGGGTGGTCTGAAACACCCTGTATAAGAAGTTAATTTAAAAAATGAACTTATGCCGAGATACAGATCTAAAAATTTTTAAAACGCAAGAGATTTGTTACATAAAAGATTCTTCTATTAGAATGTAAATTTAAATGTAAACTTTTTTTTTCTATTGGAATAATTAAAATATTAAAATTTTTTATTCTTTCTCTAAAAAAATACAATCTTCGAACGGAAAAGTATTCTTTTAAGAGAATTTTTAACGCGTTTCTATTGCACATTTGCTTTAGGTTGTCAATGTCACAGCTGGAAAGAATCGATTTCTCTCGCCTGAATGAAAAAATCTAAAAAACACGTATGTAAATCCAAGTGCCTTGAATCCATTGCAATTCAAAATTTTAAGTTTATTAATTAATTTTGAATTATTAAAATAATACAATTATGAATTATAATATTATAATTCATAATTATATTATTTCAGTCATTCAAAATTAATTAATAAACTCCAAGTACATCTTTCCTACGATCTCGGAGGCATTTGCGTCGTTCCTCGTGACTTCTTCCGTCAACTTTTCCATTTATTTATTACCGAGTCATCGTCAGGGCCACACGACGGATTGTTAAATCACGCAGACTTGGCCGGCCGCTATCGGAATCGGAGACACGAACGAAAGTACATCGACGGTATCTACAGTGCAAATCGTGACGAAGCGATCTCGACGGTCGGCGACAGCTGACAGCATCGAGACAGACGGAGAAAGAGAGAGAGAGACGACAGACGAGAGACGTTAGAGTCCCACCCGCGCTCGGACTCGATCTCGCTGCACTCCCGGTCGTGATCGACGGTGGTGAGACACGTGCCTATGTAAATCATCGAGCACAACACACACTGGACTGGGACTCCCGACGCGGGCGTGACGCCGCATCTCTCGGCAGGGCAGGATCAGCCGGATGGTGGAGGATGCCTGCGTCATCGGGCATCGTCGACGAGATCGATCGCAAAACATGATCGCTCCTTCTTGTCGTCGTTTCCTCGTCCCACTCTCGCGTCAGTCTACGCTTTCTCGACGCTGCTAGATCTCCCGCGGTCCTGGCGAGCCGGGTAAGTGTCATGCGTGCGCGCGCGCGTCAAAGAGAGAGAGAGAGAGAGAGTCTTTCTAAATTGACGAGAGTGACGATGAATGATGATTGCGTCCCAGATCAGTTTCGAAATGTGATTTACGCTAGTTACCTCCTAGTGTGTCATTGCTCCGCTTTACGAGGATGATTATGACATTACGAAAGAGAGAGGGGAAGAGAGAGAGAGAAATTATACAGTCATTGTTTGGCACTCGGTAATGACACGAGATATGTAAATGTATAAACGTACGTTTCCCGTGTCACTTTGTAGCTCACTTTAATGGATGGAGAGAAAGATTGCCAGCAGAAAAAAGGGGCTCGGGGCAGTTTCCCATCTCAGAGCAATGCATCGAATACGCCTCTTGTACCAGGGGAAGAAACGGATTGGGAGGGTATGCTCAACACAGAGAAGCAGAAGGGTGATCTCGGTGACATGACATTTTGCATGGCAAACTACCTGAAGGAAGCTATGAAGATGATGTTCATGATGCGCAGCCATCATATGCTGACTGATGTGATACTGGAAGTTGGTAGCGAACTGTTCCACGCGCATAAAGTTATTTTAGCAGCAGCTAGTCCATACTTTAAGGCAAGTTCCACTAGTGCGATAAAGAATTATTGCATTAAATTATTGGATCTCATTTATTAGAGATCATCTCGTTTTACAAGAGAAATCATTTCGCTAAAATTATATGAAAATGTTACATTAATGATTAATATATCATCAATTTCAGGCAATGTTTACCGGTGGATTAAAGGAATGCGAGATGACAAGAGTGAAACTCCAAGGTGTCTGTCCAACTGCGATGGCTCGTTTAATGTACTTTATGTACACTGGTCAAATAAGAGTCACCGAGATTACAGTGTGTTCACTACTTTCAGCAGCTACCATGTTCCAAGTATGTAAATGAACAATTGCAGAAAGGGAGATGCATATTAATCTGACAGACTAATTACCTGAGTAGATAACAAGAAATAGTCTGTCGATATCAAATCTCTGTTTTAATATTTAAATACTATTTAAATATTTATATATTTAAATACTATATTACGATACAGGTCACTAATGTGATAGATGCGTGCTGTGTTTTTCTGGAGAGACAACTGGACCCCACAAATGCGATTGGAATCGCCAACTTTGCCGAACAGCACGGTTGCCACGACTTGTACCATAAGGCAAATCAGTTCATTGTTCAGCATTTCAACCAGATATGTCAAGAAGAGGAATTTCTGCAACTGTCTGCCATCCAGCTGGTGGCGCTCGTGAGGAAGGACGAGTTGAATGTGCAAGAGGAGAGGGAAGTTTACAACGCTGTGCTGAAGTGGGTCAAATACAACGAGGAAGCGAGGCGACCCAAGATGGAACACATCTTGCACGCGGTACGCTGTCAATATCTCACGCCGAATTTTCTGCGGGAACAGATGAAGAACTGCGACGTGCTGAAAAAGGTGCCGGCCTGTCGCGAGTACTTAGCACAGATCTTTAAGGACTTGACGCTGCACAAGAAACCGATTGTCAAGGAGCGTACGCCCAATACACGGCGAGTGATATATATCGCCGGTGGTTTTTTCAAGAATTCGCTTGACGTACTAGAGGGTTACAACGCTGACGATCAGACGTGGACGCAGCACGCCAAGCTGATCGTCCCCAGATCCGGTCTAGGCGGTGCCTTCCTCAAGGGAATGTTTTATGCGGTCGGCGGCAGACATAATTCACCGGGAAGCAGGTTAGCACTTTGATGCCAAAAATGTGTGCATGTGTATGTGTGTTGGCTGACATTCTAGAATTATATCAAATAGCAGTTATCAAGCAATTTGAAAGATTACAATCAGCAGATTGTTTAATGTAAATTGCCTTGCTGAAGCTGAAGATATGAGATACATCACGAAAAAATCACGTGATTCTTTTCAGATACGATAGCGACTGGGTCGATAGGTATAATCCAATGACGGATCAATGGCGACCTTGCAGTCCAATGTCGGTACCGAGGAATAGAGTTGGAGTTGCTGTGATGGATGGCTTATTGTACGCCGTAGGCGGTAGCGCGGGTGCCGAATACCACAATAGCGTCGAATGCTACGATCCGGATCAGGATACGTGGACTAGTGTCAAACCTATGCACATCAAGAGATTAGGCGTAGGAGTAGCAGTAGTGAATAGGTATTATACTAGTCATCGCGCCAAACGAGAAAAGTATTAGTCAAGCAGTTACATATCAATGTATACATTTTAATAGATATAACTGTTAGAGTAAGTTCTATTTTAAATTATATTAATGAGATTATATTCATACAAATTATAGATATACAGAGTGTTTCAGATCACCCATTTAAAAACTAGAGAAGTGGTTATTTCAAAAAAGTAAAAACATTTTCTTGATAAATCGGATGCGCTTAATCGAATGATATTTTCAACTTCTGATTCCGGCCGGAAATAGGTGATTCAGACTGAAAGTGCATTTTTTTAAAATGGAACCCCCTATTTTTCATTGCATATTCTTGTAGCTTACCTCGAGAGCTTTCCAAAACACTGTAATAAATTATTTTTCTATAAAGTACTTATCGAGTTATGAGGCTTGAAATCATTTCTTAATTTTACATAAAATAACCATAAAATATCTTGTAAAATATTCATTTTTCGATTATTTTACCTTAATACTTTTATGTACAAAATAATGAGAGGAATCAATTGGTGTAAAGAAAACACATAGTTGTTTCTAAGAAAAAATATGTAATTTGCAATTAACAATTTCATATTTTTTCTTAAAACAACTGTATGTTTTCATTATACCAATTGATTCCTCTCATTATTTTGTACATAAAAATATTAAGGTAAGATAATCGAAAAATGAATATTTTACAAGATATTTTATGGTTTATATAAAATTAAGAAATGATTTCAAGCCTCATAGCTCGAAAAGTACTTCATGGAAAAATAATTTATTATAGTGTTTTGTAAAGCTCTCGAGGTAAGCTACAAGAATATGCAATGAAAAACAGGGGATTTCATTTTAAAAAATGCACTTGCGGTCTGAATCGCCTATTTCCGGCCGGAAGCAGATGTTGAAAATATCACCATTCGATAGAGCGCACCCGATTTATAAAGAAAATGTTTTTACTTTTTTCAAATAACCACTTCTCTAGTTTTTAAATGGGTGATACGGGTGGTCTGAAACACCCTGTATATTCAAAATGTAGGCATTGCTTTCAATTAGAGATAACGTATGATTCAATTTTATCTTGAAATACACTTTTGCATTGATTAAAGAAACTCTAAGATATTGAGGTATAATATGAAGTATTTCTTCTTCTCATAGATTGCTATATGCGATTGGTGGCTTTGATGGCAAGGATCGACTCAGTTCGGTTGAATGTTATCATCCTGAGAACGACGAGTGGACGATGGTACCGCCTATGAAATTCAGTCGCTCCGGGGCTGGAGTGGCCAGTCTGGGTCAATACATATACGTTATAGGTGGATATGACGGAAAATCGCAATTGAATTCGGTAGAACGATACGACACGGAACACGATGTCTGGGAAGACGTGAGCAGCGTCAGCATCGCTCGCAGTGCGCTCAGCGTCACCGTCCTCGACGGCAAGTTATACGCTATGGGTAAATTCGATTTTGCTGATTATTGATTTATAAATCTTTCTTTATTTCTTGAAAAGATACGTTCTATGAAATTATGAAAGCATATTCTATCCTTTTCAGGAGGATACGATGGCACGACGTTTTTAAATATAGTAGAAATTTACAATGCGACTCAGGACCAATGGACCCAAGGTGTGCCTATGACATCAGGGAGATCCGGCCACGCCAGCGCGGTATCGTACTATCAATGTCCAATACACTGCGATCATTTGGATCATAATATTTCGCTAGAGAAACCGCCATCGTGATGCACAGACTGAGCCAGGTTTTTTAATGTAATATTCAATAGTAATGATGATATCATTCTTTCATTTACGAAAGACAAGTGTAAAACTGTAAAAAATACGTCAATCTTATTGACACTAATCGACATTTAACGGAACTCGACTGATAAGTATATTATATAACACTAGATGATATGCGACACGTGTTCATCGAATCGGATTAAGATGGATTGATTATAAAAATTGTGACTAGCTGACAAAAAAAGCGCAAGACGAAGTAAGTCTCGTCAACTATCAAAGGACCAGTTTATCGTATCCGTTAGGTTAAATATGCGACTGTGTTATGTACTTAGAGCTTTTTAATTGTAAATGACGCTAATTAATATATAAATATAGAAAAAGAGACAGAAAAATAATATATGTATATATTATGTAAATAATAATATATTTATATTATGTGTAAAAAATGTTTTCGAATAATTTGCAAATATTTATTTTTGTCAGCGTCTAACAATCACATAATCTACCATCTTTTGTAAATAATACGTTATTGTAATAGTCTCGTAATTTATTTCTATTAATTTATCTGATTATGAAAAGAATGATAAAATAGCTATGTCAAAATTTACATAACGAACGTTAACAAACGTTTATCCAACACTCATATTACTTTATGTATATTAATATCGCACATTTGCTTGAACTTGTCTGAAGCAGGATACTTTTATGGAAAATAAGCGATGTTTGCATGTTTAAAATGGACATTTAGAAACAGATAATAAAGCAGATAAATTCCTGCAATTTTCAAACAATCGAATTTTCTTGTGTAAAACATCGTTTTTTACATACTTCCTTACTCCGATATAAATTTAATTAATAAAATGGCGCAGACAGAATGCAAGAAATATGTTACGTGTCCTATGTGTAAAGGTGCAGGTAGGGACATTTAAACGATATAACTGTCAATTTTAATGCGCTTGTATTTATTTTACGATAAAAACACATTTCTGAAAAAAGGTAAGTCTGCAACGTGCACAGCAATGGAAAAGGCTTCTGTATCTATTCAGCATGAGAATATAAATCCAACGCAATTTGTAAGAACACGGTTTATCGAAACGATGTATTCAGGGGCTTCGGGAGATCCACGATTATCCGATGGGTACTTTCATGAGCATTTAATTATGCAATTAGAATTTTTTTAATATATTCTACAGTAGTAATAGTACATATGTAGGGAAAAAAATTGGAATTTAAATAGGAAATTAAATAGAAATTTAAATAGGAAAAAATAGGAAATTTTGGACTATTTTTATATTATATTTAAATATATAGATCTATTTTCTTCACAATGCAGCAAACATTCCAAGGATGTTAATCCTACGACCCATTATGGAGATTATGCAGCTCTGCTAGAGGATGATTATATAGGAACACCAGAGGAAGCTGCGAATCTACAAGAAACACTTAAACACGCGCTCCAAAGTTTAAAGCAGGATCAATGGCAGAGCACTATACCAGCTCTAATAAAGCTCATGCATATTTCTAGAATTCAGCCGGAATTGTTGGACTCTAGTATGCCTCGCATATATCGAAGTTTGTGCAGGTCTTACATTCAAAGATTTCTATTGTATATTTCATCTATTTCACTTTATTTTAATTTGATATTTTTATATTGCAGTTTACTGAAGAATACGAGACCTCATGTCGTCAGGACTGTCTGCCAAGTGGCGATGGAATTATACAAGACAGTCCAGTGTACGCAAAGACCTGAGTTTGATGAACTTGTATCTATGTTACTTTTAAAAAGTACGCACACGAACAAGGGGATTCGAAATGATGCTCAACGTGCCCTGGATTCTATGGTGACACATTTGCCTCCTGGAATTTGTATCCGGATATTAACCAATGAACATGGAACCAGGTAAATAAACAAATTTATTTCATTTACATTATTCTTGTTACATAATTTTAAATTAATTATAATTATGCTATTGAATTGTAAACTATATGAAAATCTTGACGCTGTATCCTTATGCGCAGTCACAAGAATCCATTAATAAGAGCGACCATAAGTCGATTGCTTTATAATATTATTAACATTATTGGAGTGGAATGTTTATTGTTAAACCCAAGTCTTAAGGATTGTCGCCGAAAGATATTTACAATGTGTGCCAAATTTCTCCTCGATGGTAATAATGAAACAAGGTATGAAATCAACAGATGAAGAATGTTCATCATTATATTTATAAGAATTTCTTGTAATTGCGCAAGAGCTCTTTGTAAAGCTATCATTACATAAAAAGTTTTCCTGATAAATAGATGTTTATGCAAGATGTTTGCTTTGTAGAATATTATATATTACAAAAATATACATTTCAAATCTTTTTATACTCTTATATTAAAACTCTTTAAGTTTTATTCATATTTTGTGCAAAATTAGAGAAATAATTATGAATTTTAAACAGACTATGACTTAGCAGATGATGCAAAAATGTTTAATTAATCTCCTGTAGGAATGATGCGAAAAAAGCGCTGAAAGCGATGATGGGTCATCAAGACTTTGAGACTCTTTTTTATCAGGATGTAGATTGCAAGATTATTAGCAACATAGAGAAACAATTAATATGTTTAAAGTATAGTCAGATTCATAGCGTGTAACAGTATTCATTATTGTCCCAATACAATATAATAATGTGATATTTATTAATATTCATTTCTTTCTTGTGTAATAATATTTCAGTAATAAATCACGTTGCGTGTGTGTGATTATATAACTTAATGCTTCGTTATATTATTATTAATTAATTATTATATGTATGCATATATCACTAACAATTAATGTCATTAATTTATCAATATTAAATTATATAATAATTAGTATTTTATTAATAATTTTATTAATTAGTATTTTATTAGAATTCACGTTATGTGATTATATAACTTGAAACTTTGTTAATTACAATTTATTATATACAATTATTATATATATGTATAACAATTGCTTTTAATTTTTCAATATTAAATTATATAATAATTAATATTTTATTAATAATTAATAGAATTAAATAATATTATATAATAAGCAAAGTTTTCTGTATAGATGCTTTTTGTTTGTATCCATAATTCTTTTAATATCAAATGGATACACAAATTATTACACTAGAGTAGATTATTTATATATTCAAATCAGACGCCTTTTTTGTATTTATATTAATTTAGTTCACACTTCAAAACTTGCTGCACTTGAGGCGAGATGAAAATACAGAGTGTTAGAAAAGTCTGAAAACGGTCAAATATCTCGAAAACGAAACGTTTCTGAGAAAAATGTTTCGAACTAAAGTTGTAGGGTTTTAAAAGTTCTATTCAATGATCATATCCGTTTGACATTGAGTGGAGGGGTCAAGGCGAGGTTAAGGTCAACATGATTTTTTAAAATGGAAACCCCAATTTTTCATTGCATATTCTTGTATCTTACCTCGAGAGCTTTCCAAAACACTATAACAAATTATTTTTCCATGAAGTACTTTTCGAGTTATGAGGCTTGAAATCATTTCTTAATTTTACATAAACCATAAAATATCTTGTAAAATATTCATTTTTCGATTATCATACCTTAATACTTTTATGTACAAAATAATGAGAGGAATTAATTGGTGTAAAGAAAACATACTGTTGTTTTTAAGAAAAAATATGTAATTTGCAATTAACAATTACATATTTTTTCTTCGAAACAATTATGTGTTTTCTTTACACCAATTAATTCCTCTCATTCTTTTGTACATAAAAGTATTAAGGTAAGATAATGGAAAAATGAATATTTTACAAGATATTTTATGGTTTATGTAAAATTAAGATTATTTTATTATTTTAAGCCTCATAATTCGAAAAGTACTCAATGAAAAAATACTTTATTATAGTGTTTTGGAAAGCTCTCGAGATAAGCTACAAGAATATGCAATAAAAAATTGGGGTTTCCATTTAAAAAAATCATGTTGACCTTAATCTCGCCATGACCCTTCTACTCAAGGTCAAACGGATATGATCATTGAATAGAACTTTTAAAACCCTACAACTTTGGTTCGAAACATTTTTCTCAGAAACGTTTCGTTTTCGAGATATTTGACCGTTTCCAGACTTTTTTAACACCCTGTATATTTGTCCATTGGAGAGAGGGATAGAGAAGGAGAGAGCAAGAAATCTGACTGTGAGTGTAGAAAGTGCAAACAAAACAAATAGACCTCTTGAGGTTATGTCGCAAATATGGCGCTCGTCATCTCCTGAGATCAGGGACTCAGTATCGACGACCTCGACGACGCGACCGAATCCGCCAGCGGGTCATCGTCGGCGGGTCCGAAATGCCGTCCAGATCGCTGTCAACGTCGCGCGCGCGATTCGGTTAGTGACAGAGAGCAAGAGAGACGGAAAGAGAGAGAAAGAGAGAGAGTCGACACGCGGAGAAGCCTGTAACATAAAGCGCGACGCGATGAGATCCGTGTACAAGTTATTCCTGCTGTGCCTTATCCTGGCCGCGCTGATAATACTGCTCAACGTGACGACCAATTTCTCCAACAAGCTGTACGACCAGACGCCCGCGAGCAGAGAGCGCCTGACGCTGCAGCAGAGGAAGGCACCAGCATCGTCGTCGACGAGCGAGGTGACGATATGCGTGGTGGTCTGCGGGGATAGGCTGCACGAGGCCCTGACCATGCTCAAGTCGGCGCTGGTCTTCGCCAACAGGCCGCTGCAGTTCGTGATCCTGGCGGACAACAATCTGATACCAGCCTTCAGCGAGAAGCTGTCGGAATGGAGACTCATATCGAATAAGACGTTCGACTTCCTGGTGCGACCCATCACCTTCCCGGATGGGAGCGACGTGGCGATGTGGAAGAAGCTGTTCAAGCCCTGCGCGGCTCAGCGACTGTTTCTACCGGTAAGCGATCAGCTGGTCTCTTTACTAGCTAGATTATAGGAGATTCATGAGATTTGTTTCATTCCAGACGGTGCTGAACGACACAGACGCGGTACTCTATGTCGATACAGATACTCTATTTCTGGCACCACCTGATAAGGTCTGGGACGAGTTCAAAAAAATGAATTCTAGCCAACTAGCAGCTCTCAGTCCCGAGCACGAGGATCCCAACACTGGCTGGTATAACAGGTTCGCCAAGCATCCTTACTACGGCAAGCTAGGCGTCAATTCTGGGGTGATGCTGATGAACCTGACGAGAATGCGAGAGTTTCGATGGACCGATCATGTGATTCCTATACACAAGGAATACAAACTGAAGATTACCTGGGGCGATCAGGACATTATCAACATAATATTTCATCATCATCCGGAGAAGCTGTACGTGTACTCGTGCCGGTATAACTACAGGCCTGACCACTGCATGTACATGTCAGTGTGCGCCGAGGCGGAGAAGGACGGTGCCCTGGTGCTACACGGTTCTCGTGGCACTTTTCATTCGCCGAAGCAACCGCCCTTCAGGGCCGTCTACAGGGCCATGCAAGAGTATCCGCTGAACGCGGATCCATACGACGAGCTACTCGTGCCCATGAGAAATTACCTGGCGGCGGAGAACAAGTCCAACTGCGGTCGAGTCTCGAAGGTGTTCATCACGCAACCGGAGCTGCACTTAGCTGCCCATAATTTTTGAAACTTTCATTCAATTTTTATACATGCTCGTGCGAGCCACTTTGACTTTGTATCGTTTGAAATCTTTATAGATGCGTTCATTTAATGACACGAGTATTATATACAAGTATTATATATCAAAGCGGGATTATTCGAAGAGTATTCGTACATATCTATGCAGCCATTTTTGGCCACGTAATATAATATTGTCCACACATTTTCCTTCCGGAATCTCTCTTAGTGAGATCGTAAAATACTTAATTATATATAAATATATGTATACAAGTATACTTACGCGTCTTTATACACGCAAGCTAATACATTTAATTATTCGAAAAGAAGAGATTTTTAAACGATGAGCTATTATGATGTATAAGCATCCTGCTTTATTATTACGTAAGAATAAGCAGTGTATGTAAATTACGTCAATTAACGTATCCGGTTATCTATGTACAGTTTTGCCGTGAAATCACGTTGATTTATGGACAATATATTTGCAATATGTTTGTTAAGTCAGATTCAGGGAATCTGTAAACTTGCGGGCGCGATTCGCAAATTAAAAAATGTAATTCGCGCGTTAATATTCCAGACGACTCTCCGTATATTATAGACTGAACTTTTTCTATGTATATAGTGCATTTGAGTTTTTTTTGTTAACAAGTGCGCTATGTTGTTACTGTTTGTAAGGACGACGGTGCGGCGAATATATTGTTATACCTTCTGATATTTTTTGCGACAATACTTGACCGGGAAGAGAAAGATGATCAGAGCCTATCTTTGAATTACTTAAATGAGTTTTTGTCTCTTATGAAATTGTTGTTAATATTTGATATGCTATTATCTCTCGATATTCAACTTTTTTAGAGGCTTTTGAGATATTAATAATGAAAAAAATGTCTCTTTCTTTTTTCTTTTCTATGAAAATTGAGAGAAAAATATCAAAAATACTCATTAAAAATATTGACTTTGCTCCTACATGATTATTATACAAGTGATTTCAAGAGATTGGCTCTGATCGATGCAGGGTTATTTTAAAACTGAAAATATCGATAAAATCGAAATAATACATTTCATGTTTGTGCAAAATATTTATACCATTTTTAAAATAAGCCTCACTTTTTGACACAACGATAATTGATTACAAATCTGAGTATAAATTGTAATGTAATGTTTATATGAATTACATTTTGGCAAGTGTTCACATTTTTATACACGTTTTCTCGCAATTTTGATACGCATTTTGTATCGTTTGATTGTTCAACGATTCGATGTCATTTGTGATACTTTTTCTTATATAAGAGTATTGTACAATAATGAAGCTTAAATAAAAATCTGTCTACATAATACACATACACAAAAATGTCAACATGTATTTAATACGTCAATCTAGACGTTTAGCGAAAGATATCTTTATACATAATAATAATAATGTCGCATATATACAATATAATAGAAATTTGTATTATCTTTATTTCAGATTTTTATTTATTACGAAAAAGAAACGTATCTCATAATATCGAGTGAAAAAAAACGAGAAGAGTTCTCGTTTTTAAAAAATATTAGAGGAAATGAAATTATAAAAAAAATAAAATATATGTAAAAATAGAAATATACGAAGTACATATATACAGGGTGTTCCAGTTATCTTCCGTCATCTTTCAAAGACAGATTCCTGGGATCATCAGGGATCTGGGAAGACAATTTTCCCTCAAATGTTCGAAAATGTCTAGGCACTAATAATTTTCGAATTATAAGTGATTGGAAATAAGGGGTTTTTCGTAAGCTTTGTAGAAATAAAATATTAACAAAACCACATTCTTTGATTAATTTTAAATAGTTTACTTTAGTTGAGTTTTAATTGAAGATTTAATCGGGAACATGCAAAAAATGATGGCCTTTATTTTTACTGAGGAAAAATCGTCTTTAAATGATCCCAAGAATCTGTCTTTGAAACATGACGGAAGATAACTGGGACACCCTGTATATTTAAATATTTTGAAGTATATACATTTAAATATGTAATATTAATTTATGTAATATTAATTTGAATATGTAATATTTAAATATGTATTTAAATATGTATTTAAATATTTTGAAGTATATATATTTAAATATGTATTTAAATATTTTGAAGTATATATATTTAAAAATATATATATTTAAATATTTTGAACTATATATATTTAATATATATTTAAATATTTTGAAAATATAGAGAAGAGAGAATTCGCGCCTCTTTGTTAGTGTCGTAACGTAACGTAGGCCGTAGACAGGCACGTCGAGGGGGTCAGCTGACGCGAGAAGGGGCCCCCGGCGATCAGTCCTCTCGCCGCTGCTTTCCGGTTGCGGTGGCACGCGAGTTCGTGAAATCGACTCTCGTACGATATTTTTTTTTTCATTGTAATAGTCTCTCGTGTTCGAGGAGGACGTCGCTGGTGCTAACAGATCAGGAGAAACGGCCCTTGCGACCGTTAATTATTCTCCGGCATTTTCCCATTTACTTTTTAAGGATATCATAGATTTCTGGCCTCGTGAATATGTGAGAAGTCGAGCCGCAAGGTATAAGGTTATGATAAAGTTAGGATAAATCGCTTATTTTTCAGAAAAGGAATTTCATTCGAGAATCTGTTAAACCTTTCTTCTGGTGATGTTTTTATTCTGTGATAATTTTGTTACGCAAAAAAAGCGATAGGTTTTTATATATGTTTATATTTTAGATTAGACCATCGAATAGCTTTTCTGAAAATTAAGAATTTTTGTAAACACAATATTCCTAGAATATTGTATAAATTGTATAATAATTGTATAATAATTTGTATAATTATTGACTGTGAATAATATACAATATTCTAGAAATATTATGTCCTATAAAGGACGTTCTTACACAAAGAAATATGTTATGTGCGATTAACGAGTATGTTCAACCCATAGTTGAATGAACTATTAATCTTCTGAATGTTAATAGAGTCAACATGTGGTATAAAAGGGATCTTTTTAGCGTTAATTAAAAGGACCATGCAATCTTCAACCACGTAATAGGAATCTTTCACGAAAAGAAAATGAATCGAGAAGAATCGCCGGTTATTTATTGCGTTTGAATGGCTGAAATGCTGATGTGGTCACTCACAATCAGTAATGTAGCTAAATGGCAAGTGTGAAGTAGAAAAAGTAGGCGTGTCGCTTTACATATTTTATATCAGTGAAATAAAATGAACATTCTCCAAATTTGACGTCGATAAAGTAATTCTTGAAATAAAATTAAATAAAATTAAATAAAAGGTTATATTCCATATGATAGGTATATTACAGTAATTAGAATTATTAATTAAAAAATGTCATAAAATGATTTTCAAGATAATCGTCCATTTTGGCTCTTTAATTGTACGTTAAATTTTTATATTTTTTTATTATTTTTTATTTATATTTATTATTATCACATTTATTATTATATTTATATTATTATTTTTTACATTTTTTTATATTCATATTTTTTTCTAAACTCTTTTTTAATTACCGTCTTTGTCGTAAAATTTAAAATTGGTGGAGAAGAAGTGGAAAATAATCAAACAGTTTAAGCCGATTTCTAATTTCGAGAATTAGAAAGTTATAATTAGGAGGGGGGAGGAGAATTAAATTTCTATTAATTCCTTTCATTCACCCAATCTTGCGCGACATACGAGATTGACAGTCGATCTAGAGCCGGCCCTGACGATCCACGATGATGATCGAGCAACGCAGCTCGCGCGTGTTTTATTCGCGATAAGAATCAAGCGAGTGAAGCGATAAGCGTGCGATAACGAGTAGGAGGAGAGAAGGAAAGGAGCACTTTCGGATCGCGTGGCTGTCAGTCGTGACGTGGTACGCGATCGGTTACCGTTCCACCTCTGTGATCAACGTGATGATTTGTTCGTGAAGAAAAAAAAAACAGGATAAACTCTAGGGACAGGGATACGGATATAAGTGCGGGCCGAACAGGTGAGAGGCCGATCTCCTGGACGCGTTATTTGTAGACGTCAGCGTGTACTCGCTCGTAATGTTACGGTATCGACGTGTACTACGTTCTATACAGGGTGTCCCGAAAATACATCTTATTGTTAGCCAAATTCCGTCGTTTTTATTCGGGATCGACGACGTGGAATTATCAAATATTATTCCGAATACAATTTTTTTCGTCTGCCTGGATGTGTATCTTTTCAACCATTAAATCAATACTTGATTATTTCTATTCAAATATCTGCATCTGCGTTTACAATGTAAAATACTTTTTTATATTTCAATTTTTTTTTAGGTACAGTAGAGAGAATTTATCGCGTCTTAGCATTTGTAATAATTTGTATAAAATGATGAAAATAAAGAAGATTTTTTTAATGTAAATTAAAAAATTACGTTTTGATAATTTCGAGACACCCTGTATTTACTTTATATGGCTGATGAGGTGCTACTGTATGCTCGGTGTCGCGATGCACAGCCATAAGATAATAATTTTAATCTCTTTTAATGTATATCAGCAGATTATTCGAAAGCTGTTCTGAATTTATAATGAGACTAATTGTGGTAATAGTTAAATCAGATTTCGAGGAATGGTACATAATTTCATTGCAATATTCTATAGGAAATTACATCGGACACATAATAGATGTCTAAATTAAATGTTAAACAAAAAATTATATTTATTATATTATGTTCCAATACTTTTTGCACAAGGTATATTACATTTTTTTATTGTGATAAGGAAACGAAAGGAAGAATAAAACATGTGTGTTGCTGACATGATTATTACTTCTTGCTCGATTCACATTTCAGAGAAGCTTGCCTTTCATCGTCGTTTCCATTAATTGGCTTATTTCTATAGCTTGATTGAACAATAATCAAACAATCAGATTTGAGAGAAAGCTATTTCTCGTTTACGCCAATAAATGTCAAACGTTAAATAGGGTGACCAGTGGATTTTATCAGGTTTATTTATATTTTTATCTAGTTTATTTTTTATATTATATATATAATATTTTTTATAATATAATATTTTTATATTTTTTATATTAGATTAAAATTCGCGAGAAAAAAAGTAAATCGCTCCAACATTAATCTTTATAATAAAGAAATTTAATTTGTTTTGTTATAAAAAAATGTCATCGTTTGTTTATTCCATTTTTTATTCTAATAAATTAAAAAAATAGTCTAATAAATTAAAAAATTAATCGGTCACTTCGCGAATTTTTATTACTCGATCTTGTTATTCAACGTGTCATAATTGATGGCGAAGGAATACGATGAGGAATCCGAATTAAGATGCGTCACGCGATCTAGATTGTCAGACGTTTAACCATAATCAAAAGCGAATAATAATATTGTGCATAGTTGACAGTTTGCATTGTCGTGGCAGAATGACGTTTACGAAATTCGCGATAGCTTAGTCAGAGATTGCGACACCAACGACCTGTACAAATCGAATCTATCTGCGCTTTTTATTCGCACATTTTATGTATAACATATGTCCTGCGGAATCAATTTTTTATTTTGCGCGTATTTTGATATCGCTTATTAATTACGTCGAATTATCGATAAAATTACTGATGACTGATGACGAGATATTTTATCGTGTCTTTGTCGTATTTTTTGGACATAATAATTTATTAATATACGAATTATTAAGAATTATTTATATATTTTTGAGATAAAAATATTCTAGGGACAAAACAGAGAGATTAAAAATTCTTTCGGTCTGTTAAAGAAATAAAATTTAAACGAATTCTTAAAAATATACTTTATGTTAATTGTTTTAAAAAATCATGCAATAATTAGAAATTAAACGGTTTAAATTTCTGATTATCTATTATTGATAGCTAAAAGAAAATGTATTATATATATATCTTAGACATGTCTAGATAACTATTGCATCATAATACATTCAATTTGACGCGAATAATAAAATTGCAGGTAGTTTTGCTGCATTCCCGGTCGCGCTTCCTTCGATATTGCATAACATCGACAAGAACATTACTTTCCTAATAAAATCGCATGACATCGGATGTTTTGCAATGACTCGAACAAACTACCTGTGAAATATTACAGGAAATTATAAACTAGGATTTTGATTCCAATAATGAATTACGAGTTTCGAAAACCATGTGATACGATATTACGATAATTGGAATTGATCATTCGCGTTATTATCTAGATATCGGAAATTCCAGAATTCCGCGATTTAGATCTTAGATTTCGATTCGTAATCGCAATCTGTTTTTTTTTTGTGATTGATGCTTGATCAAGTACTTGATATTATCAATACGCACATATCCGATAAATATTTTTAAACGTTCCATCAGACTTACAAATATATATTTATATTTATATATTTATTATATATTTATATTTATATTTTGTATGCTTAATATTGATTATTAATTATTATTAATATTTAATTATTATTAATTATTATTAATTTAGTTCGATAGAAAATTAAGAAATTTCGGAAGAAAAGCGATGTCTCGTAAAATTTATTAATTAAAATGTTACTCATTTTTCTTTAAACGAACTTAGTTATTGTAAAAAAGTAGAACATGTATCAAATATTATATCGTATTTTTCCTCGTCCAAAGAGGAATGATTCAGGCGAGTAATAAGTATTGTATGAAGAGTTTGTCGTAATTTATGATCTTGATGCGTAAACGAGGCAGAGAAACGCTTCTTGGCTTCGCTTAAAATAATGTTATATAAGTTGTTTATATTCGAGATACATATATAATTTCTTGAGGAAAGATACGGAAACGCGGTGTGTGCTTGACAGACAAATTCATGTCTAAATAATATGATGGAACCAATTAACGAATATTATTTTAAAGATTTTAATCGCGATCACAAGTAATGATATTATCATAAAATAATAATATTCATAAATACTCGCAACACATCCATATTTAAATTTATTACATTTTATAATTACTTGTTATAATTGAGATATTAAAATAATTACAACAAAGAAATCATGACATCATAATCAATGATACTTTCAATGTGTTTTTTATACATACAATAGTATTAAAAGGAGAAAAAATTAAAATATTATATATAGAGATATGAGATATTTTTATAATAATAAAAATATCCTTATTATTTTATAAGAATAAAAATATATAATAACAAATATATAATAATAAAAATAATATTATTATAAATAATAAAAATAATATTGTATCCTGCTATTCGCAAGAAATTACAAAAGCTTGATATATTTTTATAAATATCCGTTGAAAACCCTTCTCTTAATATTATATAATTACATATAATCACATAATATTAAATCTTAAGCATTCGCAAGCATGCTTATGATTTGTGAGAAAAAAAACGAAGTAAAAATGTTAATTTTAAACACGAAGGTATTAATATTGATACTAAGTTTGATATTATCATATTAAATACGTGTTTATACATATATTTATATATTCAACAAGTTGTTACTCACGTCGTTTTAAAACATAATAATTTTACAAAATTGGATATGAGATATTATATTGGATGGGATATTATACAGGGAAAACAAGGTATGGCGAGTAATAAATATTCACGTATATACTTTATAGCTAGATTGTATTCATGGTATGTAACATGTGGCCGATAGGTACTTTTATCCCATTGCACAGCCGGCAAATCGCGAAATTGCAATTACCGTAGGTCTCCCTCACCGTGGTTCTCATCCCCCTTATCTAATACCTCTCCTTATTTATCGAAATTATAGAACGTGTCGCAATTATTAATATGTAGACTGAAATAGATACTAATTTAATTTCCTAATCACGATAAAAGTTTAAAATGTAAAACGTCAAAATTTAAGATTTTTCTCAGCAACATCCTATTGACGTTGGTTTAAATATAGTTCTTAGAAAATATGATAAAAAATATACAATTATCTTTTTGCATGATACCGTTAAGAATTAAAAAGTGAGAAATAGAGCGGTGATTCACACGAAAAGAAGCAGTTATAAATGGACAATGCGAATCGCACACAATGTTAATCTCAAACCGTAGACGACGATAATTTAAGCAAACCAGTATTATTTCGTCCATCTTTCAGTGCCTTGCTCGACGTAGCTAATAAATTTGAGAAAATTTTATAAAGATTTGAAAAATATATTTTTTTTTCATACAAATCATAATCATTTAAAAAATACGTGAATGACAGTTATAAGTCATCGGAATTTCAGATAGAAATATAAAGATTAATGATATCTCATTGTCAGAATCTATCAGTTCAATTTGTGATCAGTATCCAGGATCTCGACTACAAGTCCTTTGATTTGCAGAATCGAAGATGCCATTGTTCAAGGCGCGGGCCACGTCGAGGTCGCCGATAACGGAGAAAGCAGCGAACGGCGTGCAGTATCGCAATCACCATCAGGTCGGCGATGACAACAATCATGATGGAAGCGCGAGCAGTAACGGTACCGGTAGCCGGTCGTGCAATAATAACGCTGCTCTTCAGCACGAGCAGACGAGAGCCTCGTCCCGGGACTTGAAGTCGCCCTCGCTCGTCTTCCACTGCCAGCTGGCCCACGGCAGTCCTACGGGACTGATATCGGACTTTAGCAATGTCCGCGAGCTGTACCAGAAGATCGCCGAGTGCTACGACTTGCCCGCGGAAGAGGTAATAAGTGAACATGATTCGTTAAAAAGTTTGAGGAGAATAAAAGAAAGTATTCGATCAAGGTGAAGAATTTAGCTCGATAGTGACTCCACTGTTTCTTTGCCAGATGCAAGCACAGCAGTCGACTTGAATGACTTTCCTCTTTGCAAGATATTTATTTTATTGAGTGTTAAAAGACTATGTTGTCAGTTAGTAGACTTATGTTTCATTTATTTATTCACGCATTTTGTCTCTCTTTATATACAGGGTGTTTCAGACCACACATACCATCCATTTAAAAACTAGAGAAGTGGTTATTTCAAAAAAGTAAAAACATTTTCTTTTATATAATTTGCAATTAATAATTCTATATTTTTTTCTTAAAAACAACTGTATGTTTTCTTTACACCAATTGATTCCTCTCATTATTTTGTATATAAAAGTATTAAAGTAAGATAATCGAAAAATGAATATTTTACAAGAGATATTTTATGGTTTATGTAAAATTAAGAAATGATTTCAAGCCTCATAACTCGAAAAATACTTCATGGAAAAATAATTTATTATAGTGTTTTGGAAAGTTTTCGAGGTAAGCTACAAGAATATGCAATGAAAAATTGGGGGTTCCATTTAAAAAAATGCACTTCCGGTCTGAATCGCCTATTTCTGGCCGGAACTAGAAGTTGAAAATATCACCATTCGATAGAGCGCACCCGATTTATAAAGAAAATGTTTTTACTTTTTTGAAATAACCACTTCTCTAGTTTTTAAATGGGTGGTACGTGTGGTCTGAACCACCCTGTATATTTTAATGCTAAAACACGTTTCTATCTTTACAAGGTTACGATTTTATTTTTGTTAAAGATGTTGATGCATTTTTTATTATATCATGAGATAGAGATGGGCAAAATTATAATCGAATAATGAATAAAAAGTAAGAGATGATGCGAGAGATGAAAGCCAGTTCGGTATTTCCAGCGCGAAACGCCCCACGTAGAGAGAGACACGAGACCGGAAACACCGGAAACGCCGGTCACGGACCGTAGCATCTCGTCAACCCGGCGGATATGTCTCAGTGAGAGCGAGTCGTGTAATTCGATGTGTAAACGCGGTCGCCGATGTAAGCAGGTCGACTCTCGTTATGGGTCGTTTGGAGCGCGGGGTCGAGCAATTTCTCACTGCAAAGTCAGCTAAATAAATTATTGTACTTTATTGTTATTGAAGGAAAATCTAGAAATAATTATAGAAATCGAAATAAGATAGATAATTAAATAAAATCTTTAATGATATCAAATATAAGTCTATTAAGTAAAATTTTAATTGGAGAGGTTTAACGTCAAACTTAGTAATTTTCATGAAAATTTAAATAAAAATGATTCAAAGTTGAGAGCAAATTAATGTTATCACGGAAGTGTTTAAATATTGAAAATCAAATAGAAAACTTGATGTTTCAGATTCTCTTTTGCACACTCAATACACACAAGGTGGAAATGACGGAGTTACTAGGTGGCCAAATTGGTGTGGGTGACTTCATATTCGCACATAAAAAAGGTTGCTGTCTATTTATTATATATAAAATGTACATAAAATTAAAAAGGAAAGCAATATTGAACTTTGGGCAAAAATCGACAAAGACAAATATTAGTTTCTAATTCTAAGGGACAGAATTTATTTTAAATTAGAATAAACATCAGTGTAAAATAGTTGGAGCAATTTTTATATAATAATTTAAGATTATCATAACAAAATTTGATGTAAGTCTTTTATCTTGAATTAAATTATACACTTAAATTTCGCAAAAGTGCATAAAATAGATTAATGTGTTTTTGGCGCAGGTCGGCCAAAGGAAATCGAGCTGATGAAGACGGACGACGCATTGGGCCTGACTATCACTGATAATGGCGCCGGTTACGCATTCATAAAGCGTATAAAGGAGAACTCCATCATTGACAGAATAAAGGTGATCGAGGTGGGCGATCACATCGAGAGGATCAACTCGACCAGTCTTGTGGGCAAACGACACTTTGAAGTGGCTAGAATGCTAAAAGATATACCAAAAGGTTCGGTATTCACATTGAGGCTGGTGGAGCCGCAGAAGAATGGCTTCAGCGGCATCGGACCACGCGGTGATCCCAAGAAGGGGAAGAAAGTCGGCTACGGATCCGGCAAAGAGACTCTAAGATTCAAAGCTGACGGTAGCACGCAGATCATACAACAAGTACGCACTAAACATAAAAATTGAGAGATTGTTTAAAAAGATTACATTATAGGTGATAAATTTGACAGAAAAATACAAACATATATTTTATTAGGCGTTGATAGGCCTGATGACATTTTGAAAAATATTTTAATTATTTTAATATTTTGAAAAAATATGAATAATATCGAAAAATAGTTTTATAAGATCTTTAAATTATTTAAATCCACTTTTAAGTGTAGAAATTTGTATGTCTATTTTCTACGTAATAAATAAGATAACGAATGTTAAGCATTAATTCAAAAATATTAAATAAATATTTGCTATTTGCAGATTGATGATGCGGCTGCGCTGGGTGTCGAGAAGATCAACACCATCTTGGAAAGCTTCATGGGAATCTCTGATACGGAATTAGGTAGGTTTGCGAATTCGGGTGTAATAAAATTTTTCTTGTCATTTTTTTCGTTCTTTAAAGATTTACATATGCTTTGATTAAAGACTGATTCGATTGTTATATCTGATTTTGATCACAGCCACGCAAATCTGGGAGCTGGCCGAAGGCAAATGCAACAGCATAGACTTCGCTGAGGCGATAGACAATTCCGACTTGGAAGACTTTGGCTTCACCGACGAATTCGTGATCGAATTGTGGGGCGCCGTGACGGATGCGAGAGCAGGTCGGCATCGATGACGCGAGGATCAGATGACGAGATGATGAGATAAAAAGAAGATAAATTGCCGAGATCTTCGTTGAAACGAAATTTTGGACGGAATTATTCGTAAATGAGTGCTTTTCTACGTGAAAAAGTGGCATTGCTTGATCCTCGTCTGTTACCATGATTCTAGAAGCCTGATGCTTAACGCTAGTCGTGGTCCTCGAAATCTCCGTGTTTATTAAAAATTTTGAATCGGTTTGCAAATATATCAATACGAGAAAATCGAACATTCGATAGCAAAAATGCAGGACGAAATCTGCAATATTTTATATCGCATCGTATATTGTGTCATATGGCAAGCGCAGAATCAAAATTTGAAGACAAAAATAGATGCAATGGTTTTTCGGAGATTGTGTGTTGTAAAAAATTAAACTTTTGCTATAGGGATGTTAAAAAAAAGTTTTATTGTTAAGATCGATTAAGACATTATATAAATTCTATCTTAGAAAAGAATATTATTAATAATATTAGAATATTATTAAAATAATATTAGAATATTAAAATCTATTAAAAAATTTTGTCAAAAATTTTCATATTTTTTAATTCAAATTTACTTTTTTTATTTTGGTTAGAATCAACACGCGTTGATTTTCTTTGGAAACTCTTTCTTTCGTGTCTTTAATTAAATTATTACAAAATCTTATATCTGATAAGACAACACCACATAATTCGCAGATGTAATCACGACAAGCCTTGTCATAATATTGTTAATACTCATCTAATTATCTAGGAAGAGAAGAGAAACGACAAAGTTTTATCAAGTGTGACATATCATTTTTCGAATTACGCAATTGTAATGTTAGTAAGAATACGAAGAAAAGAAGTTTATTGGTATGGCAAATCTTATATGCGTAAATGTAACATAAATTTCAAAATATCTATTTAAATTAAGTATTATAAATGGACAGTAAAAGACTCGTTAAGAATTCTAATTTGAATTTACTGAAAATAATTCCATCATATCTGTGAATTATTTATAACAGATAATTGACTCTTATCTCGCCATTAAAGCAGTAACGATTTTCTTGCAACATTAAAGTACATTTGGTAGCAACAGATTATTTTGCTTTAGCGTAGCAAATTCGTGTTCTTATGGATGAATTTTAATTTTATTTCTATTGAATGAGATTTTCCTGTTTTACAAATAGAACAAATTTGTTGTAATATCAGATAATAGATCGCGAGTATCAGCGAAATTTGATTATTTTTACATTAATAAAGGTTTTACTATTACAGTGAAAATCTCTTTATGTATATGCTACAAATATGGATTTTGATTTCTTTAAAGTCGCAAAACAACTTTCGCTCGCTTCTTATTCGAGTCGATATCAACTATCAAATCGTAATTACGTAAACGTGCAAGAAACGATATAATTTTAGCAACCATTAGTATTAATTACTCAAATTATAGCGTAAATATGTTGACATAAAATAATGTATGCATTATTATGTTAATATCAATATTGACGACATTAAATCGAATGTGAGCCAGTTAATATTCATCGATGTCGATTCAAAGATATTATACATAAATGTAAAAAGAATGAATTAATATATTTTGATACATAAGAGCGAACAACTTGATAATGTAAGTATATATAAGTGTGCAAATACTTATTTAGCATAATAAAATATCTTTGTAGTAAATGCAAGATTTTTACATGATTCCATATACCGGTTATAATGCAAACAATGAAAACAGAAAGATAAGAGAAAGGATATTGATATTTATAGACTGTAATATTGTCGTCATCAACTGACTAACATTCCTTATCCGACAGAGATAACAGAATATTGAAGAAATCAATCTTACATTAAAACAGTCTTGTATTATATCAGTCTTGTATTATTTTTAGATATATTACGCAAGTCATGCAAGACTGAAACAGCATATTCGATCTTAAAGTATTTAAATTGTAAATCAATGCGTTCTCGCATAATTCCAATACTGTTCTAACATAGAAAATATTTTTGCGCCTATAAAATTTTTTATATTTTTTTTGTTTTATATAATTAATTAGTTATATTTAGTTATTTTTAGCATATCTCTAACTCCAGATAAAGTTTCTTAGATATGGTTTCACAAGAAGTGAAACCGACTTGTGGGAGTTAATGTTCTTTCATTGAATCAGTGTAAATATGTTTTCGTTGACAGAGTTGTTTTTTTTTGCACTCAGACATCTGAAAAAATCTAGATAATATCAAAGTGTATCGGAAAAGAATTATATCGTCAACTGTTAATATTTTTAATATATATTAATATATAATATATATATATATATATATATATATATATATATATATATATATATACACAGAGTGGCCCCGAATGTTCCAGCTAGACTTTGAGATCTTATAAGAAATTTAATTCTGAACAAAAAATTTCCTATAAACATGGGTCGAAAAATGCTTCCTAAGAAGTTATCGCTCAAAAACCTCTGATGAAGGAAGAGCAAAAGGTGAAAAGAAAATGAAACTAAATAAATTTTTTGAAAATCGTCTTTATTCATTTTCTACTATTACGTGATATTACTAAAATATTAGTTAAAAAAAATTATTTTATTTTCATAAAAGAAAAACATTTTTATTTTTTATTTTTATCATTTTTTTCAAGAAATTTATTTAGTTTCATTTTCTTTTTTTATTTCATTTTCTTTTCACCTTTTGTTCTTCCTTTTCATCAGAGTTTTTTGAGCGATAACTTCTTAAGGAAGCATTTTTCGACCCATGTTTATAGGAAATTTTTTGTTCAGAATTATATTTAATATATTTTTTATGTATTTTTTTATGTATTTTTAATATATTTTTAATATATTTTTAATGTATTAATATCGATAGTAACAATAACATAATGCAATAACATAAGGCAATATATCAATATAATATATATAATATTTTAGATTCCAAAATTTTTAAATTCTCTCTTTAAATTATTTTTCATATGATTTGACATGTTGTTTCATGTGGTTTTTGACATTTATCTCTCTTTAATCATGCCATTTCTAATGAATTAAATTGAAATTTTGATACATATGTTGCGATCATATGTTTAATTCATATCAATCCTAGCGTTGTTGCGCATGCGCAATGAACCAGCTGTGTCCCGAGTCCCGTGTCCCCGATCTGTCAGTCAGCATTTGCGCCTCTATGTGTGAACGTTCGATATAAGGTGAATGTTATTGTTATCGCGATATATATTTCGAAACCAAAATTTAATTTAATTTACAACGATCGAAAATAGAAATAGAAGAATATCATAAAAAAAAGAATTTAAAAAAATTTTGAAAAGTATTGGAATAAATTATATGGTTTGCATTTAACCTTTGTTGCCGGGAGAATTTTGCGAATAATAATTGTATATTTATCCTACAGTGACTATGGCATTCGTATTGAAAAAGGCCGGTGACGTGTTTCTGCGTTTGAGCAGCAGTCCGCGAACCATTCGAGGCTCTATAAAAATATCGCGGGTAGGTAAACATACGCAATTGCTATTACGTTTTTATCAGATATCACATAACCTACTTACTCTATCTAGCCGGATAATTATTTGGACTCTGTTTTCATCTATTTTCTGCTATGTATATATTTCACACAATTATTGAATTATTTATGGATTTTAATTATTATTCGCTTAGCTGCAATTTCTTTAATTTGTCAAACAAATTTTTATATATTTTTTTCATTTCCCCTCCCCCTATCTTTATATCTTTTATTCTTTTATTATTTTTATCTATTTAATATATATTTTTTTATATCTTTTATATCTTTATATATTTCATATTTTATGTTGGCGAGTATAAAATTAATTCGTTTTTTATTTTTTAGACATGATAAAAAGTTAATATTAGGATATTTTTATGATATCAAACTTTAAAATTTTATTTAACAGGTATGCACTGCTCATTTTTCCATCAAAGCAGATATTCCACAAGTGGAAGAGGAAGCTGAAAAATTGAAAACACCAGTAGGGAATGGTAAAGTGTTCGAGAGCATAGAGGAAGCTGTATCTGATGTACATAATGGAGCTAAACTTTTGGTCGGTGGATTTGGCCTCTGTGGCATCCCAGAGAATCTAATAGCATGCATACTAAACAAAGGCTCTAAAGATTTAACTGTAGTTTCGAATAATGCTGGAGTAGAAGACTTTGGATTAGGTATATTGCTGAAGGAGCACAGAATCAAGAAGATGATCGCCTCATACGTGGGTGAGAATCCTGAATTCGAAAGACAATATCTCAATGGCCAATTGGAAGTCGAATTAACGCCGCAGGTAATGAGGTTTCGAGAATGAAAGAGTATTTGTAACAAATCTCCTGCAATTTTTTACAAATTTAGTCATTTTAGGGCACCTTGGCAGAACGTGTGAGAGCAGGTGGTGCTGGTATTCCAGCTTTTTATACTCCTACAGCTTTTGGGACTATCGTGCAAGAGGGCAACGTCATCCTGAAGTACGACAAGGATGGTAACGCTGAGATCTCAGGCGAGCCGAGGAACGTGAATCAATTCAATGGACGAAACTATGTGTTAGAGACTGCTATTACTGGCGACTTTGCGCTTGTGAAAGCGTGGAAGGCTGACACTGCAGGAAATCTGGTCTTTCGAAAATCCGCCAGGAACTTCAATCCTGTGATGTGCAAGGCAGCCAAGATATCGATAGTCGAAGTGGAGGAGATTGTGGGGATCGGTCAATTGGATCCTGATCAGATCCATTTGCCTGGTATTTTTGTGGATAGGATCGTAAAAGGACCCTCTTACGAGAAACGAATCGAGGTTGGTGTTTATTTATCTTGATTGATATTCGTATCGATATCATTATGCATATTTAATTGTATAAATTTAATGTATTTAATTGTATAAATTTAATTGTATTAAATTTCTCGTGAATGTTATTTTTTCTATCACACAGAAACGATCGACAAGACAAACTATGAAGCCCAAGAAAGTAACTCCAGCTAGTAAAGCGAGAGATAGGATAATCAGACGCGCTGCCCTCGAATTTAAAGATGGAATGTATGGTAAGTACCAGAAAATAATGAGAATAAAATTTATTTAAATTAGAAATATAGATATCTTGATTTTAAATAACGTATTCAAGTTCCTTTATCAGTCCTTTATCAGTAGCACTTGATAAAATGAAAACTTTTACAGCCAACTTGGGAATTGGTATACCAATGCTTGCAAGTAACTATATCCCGAAAGGTGTGAAAGTGACGTTACAGTCAGAAAACGGTATTCTTGGACTAGGTCCTGTTCCGGAGACCGAAGCCGATGTCGATGCTGATCTTATTAATGCTGGAAAGGAATCTGTAACAGTGCTACCTGGTGCTGCTTACTTTAGTAGTGATGAAAGCTTTGGCATGATCAGAGGGTACATACAACTATTTATATTATTTTAAAGCTGGCACTTTTTATCATCAAATATTAGAATATATTCATTATCAAATATCGAAAGATTATTTTAAAATTGAAATATTATTTTGTAAAATTGTTACATTTTTAATTAAAATTATTTTCCAACAAATTTGCTATAATTTTCAAAAAAGAGAGATTTAATTTTAAAAAATTTAAAGTTTAATCTTTGATAAAAAAATTTTTTTGACAAAGCTTTCAAGATTTTAGGATAGAAATGGTGGAATATTTAAAAAATATTTAATTACTAGAAAGTGTAATACATTTAGAGCATTTATATGAATACTCTATTCTCTTTGAATGTTGAAGAAAATAAAGAGAACAGATTTAATTGTGTTGTACATTTTACAGAGGACACATTGATCTGACTATTCTTGGAGGCATGCAAGTATCGGAGAACGGAGATTTGGCCAACTGGATGATACCAGGTATGGTGGTAAAGGGCATGGGTGGTGCTATGGATTTGGTATCCTCACCGACCACAAAGGTAGTAATAACTATGGAGCACAAAGCCCGAGATGGAAGCCCAAAAATTTTGAAGAATTGCACTTTGCCTGTCACAGGTAACATTTTACAAATATTTTGACATTAATCTTTCATAAATTCTCGTTTTCTAATTTTAACTATGTTATTTTAATACTTTATTATTTAATGTTATTACATTTTAATTCATATTTAATAATATTTCTCTATTTTTTCACTTGCTATATTATATATTATATATGGAATAATCCTTTTTTTAACATTTTATAATATATTATAATATATTTCTATAGGTCAACAATGCGTAGATTTAATTATCACAGATCTAGGAGTATTTGAAGTGATTCGAGGAGAAGGATTAAAGCTTATCGAAATTGCCGCTAATATCGATATCAGTGAGGTTGTGAGTTCAACAGGTTGTGAATTTAGCGTTGCCGACGATCTTAAAGAAATGAGACAAGTTGAAGTTGATGAATCGTGAATTGCAAATATGTTTCATAAGTTATAAATAATAAAAAAGCGAATTTTTTTTATATCTCTTACAATTATATATATATATATATATATATATATATATATATATATATATAAGTCCTAATGTAAAAAAATTGAGCATTTCACGAAAATATTGCTTTCACAATTGAGCATTTCACGAAAATATTGCTATACAAATGTATGTAATCAAAAAAAGGACTGTTATTTAAATTGCATAATTTTGTTTCTATTAATTCTTGTAAAGTTTCTGTTTTTTACAGATGATATTATCTCATATAATATAATGTAACTTTTAAATTATTCGATAAGTGTTATGATTACTATTGTTAAATATCTATTGTGTTAAGTGCATTATTCTACACGAGAATCAATGATTCGTTTTTTAAATGTACATATGGATTTCTTTTGTTCTATGTACAAAAACAATTTAATATACGATGTCTGTGTGGCATTGTGTGTAAGCAAAGTTGCAATATTGCATACGTTATATCATTAGTAGCATTACAAATGATAATTATTATAAATTATATAATAATAAATGAAATAATATTTTGTAATATATTATGCAATAAAAAGTTTTAATATTTTTTATTACATTTTTTTCTCGATCGTACGGGATAGTTTTAATTTTTACGTTATTTACAATTTTATGTACATTGAAAATTGAAATTAGCGGATCATTCAGCTTTAAATATGAGTAAATATTCGATTATCGATGCAATACAATGATGAATATTATTCTCTAAATTTAGCCTTCACTCTAGCAGGTAGTGGCAACAGATACAAGACACTGTTTAATATAATGAGACCGACAGCGAATGCTAAGGAGATCAGCAGATTTAGGTCTACGTTCAACACTTCAGATATATTCTCGCCCTCCCTAGTGAAGCGTTCTATCAGATAAGTTTTGCCATCGGGATACCTGCAGAATTCGGCAGAACCTGGACAAGCCAAGCTCTCATTGTAAGGCAGATTGGACAAGAGAGGCGTATCGACGACCAACTGGTTCAGTGCTAGAGACGCATATCTGGTCGGTAGCGCCGTCGACACCATCGTCAGCCAGTAGGGTAGATTCTTCAGACTGCGAATCGCGCCGGATGCGATCACCAGGGACAACAAGCTCATGTATAAGACCGTAATCGCACCGGTTATGGGACGACCGATTACCATAAGCACGGCTACCGTCACTTGCTCGGCCGCCACATAGCTGGACCACAGAATTCCGGAAGCGTATGCCCACGAGGATAGGTCTAACTCGAGAATCGGAATCAGAATCCCGATTGTTATCAGAGTCGATATGAAGCTCAGCGGAAGACTCAGCAGGGTGTATGCCGTCAGAAACATCGCACCACCGTAGAGACCCTCTCGCTTTTCTTGATAATATCTCACGCGAAAACCTGGAACTACGTAAATCAATCCTTAATATTAAATTGAAAGTAGAGTTTGAAAGAAAATCCGCTTTAAGATGCATCTCGATTATCAACAAATATTTCATTTTTTCAGCTCAATTGCTTCGCATAACAATTAATTAATAGAAATAGAAGAGAAAAAAAATGAAAAAAAGCGTATCCTTGAAATCAAGAGAGTAAGGAATTTATAAATGAATTAAATAGATAGAAATATAATAAATTAGCAGAGAGGTTTGGCAAATACATTGCTGTTTACTTTTGAATCAATCTATCTTTCAACTTACACAAAAGCGATGTCACGGCTATCCCGGCCGCGTAAAATAACGTCAAGACGTTGAAGATCAAACCACCGGTCTGTAAAAATATCCTTGATTGTACGGGACTTGAATGCGAATACAGTATACTCATTAAGGCCACCAGAAACGGCAGCAACAGCAGGCGAGCGGCAAAATGTCCCAGGCCAGTCTTATTCAAGGAGAACGTAGCTGCCATACTTCGTCTAATTGTAAAACAAGATGATGCGGATCATCAATCTCTCTATAAGATGTTCCGAAATTATCTTTACAATTTTGCTGATTCGATAGATTTCAAAACATGTAATCGAAACATATTTTAAAAATATGTTTCGAGAAGATAATATCAAATATATATTAAAAAATTGCAAGAAATGATCTTCGCAAAGATCTTCTTTCGAGGAAATTAAAGAGCCCTTGTAACTTATAGTTTAATTAATATAATTTGTTTAATTAATATATTTTATTGTTTATTTTTACCAAAACTGTTACTATTCGAGAAACTCACAAGTACAGTGCTAAAAGAGTCGAGAAGCATCCAGGCTTAATTCCGCGACCTAGACCTTTATGCATGATGCCGAGGGCTACATCTTTCATGCTGTGCGATATCTGCGGCGCTTCCTTCATGTAAAGCACTCCGTCCACCTTGAATTTCTCGACCAAGACCGAGATTTGTTGATTCGACTCTAAGAAGCGATCTCTGGAGCGGCGATCGACGGTCGACAAGCAGACTGAAAAAGCGTGATATGATTCTCCAGATCAAATCAATTAAATTGTTTTTTATATCATCAGCTTAATAAATGAATCATTTTTTTAAACGTTGTAAGTTGAAGAATTTATCGGAAAAATTGTAAAAAAACGCATTATCCCTGAAATAATAAATATTAAACGGAACTAGATTGCCTTTCTGTCCGATACTCACGATAATACATCAAGGGATTCTCCAGTTCTGGACAAGGGAAGCCGATGTAGGTGAAGTAATCCAGCATGCTCCTGGTAGGTCCTGAATAGACGACCGCGCCCAGACACAACAGTGTCACTCGACTAACAAAGGGCAGCACATCGGATCTAGGTGTCTCCATGGTGAGGACAACGATGGAGCCGCGTCTGGTGGCGTAGGACCACAGCATCGAGACGATGAGATAGGTGTTGAGTGGATCCGTGTCCCAGGTCGGCTCGTCCAGCAGCAACAGAGTCGGATCCTTAGCCAATTGCACCCCCAGCATCAGTCGTCGATACTCTGCCCTGGTGAGATCGTTCACCGACCTGTTGGCGACCTGCGACAGCGCCAGATCGGCGAGGGTCTGTCGCACCCGGGCCTCGCGATTGCTTAGATTGCCCAGCCATGTGGCGTATGTCAGGGTCTGACGTACCGTTAGACTCGGTAGCAGATGACACCTGTGGGCTACATAGCCGCCGTGACGTCGAAACAACTCCGGTGTCAATAGATTGCTATTTAAAGTGATCCTCCCTCTCGTCTCCCCCTCTGCCCTTCCAGCTGAATGAGTCAAGTAAGTAGATTTAAGATTTGGTCGACGCTAATTTTCTAAGACTAAATGTGGAATCGTTACAAATATTAACAATCCTCTATCTTTTTATTTCCTCCATATTTTCCTTCAATAACATTTAAATGATAAAATTTTTAATTGTTTAATATTTTATTTAATATTAAATAAAATTATTATTTATTTATTTAATATTTATTTAATATTTTATTTAAGTTTTTAATTATTTAATGCGCAAAATATAATAAGAAGAATTAATTAAAGTATAATGAAAACTGAATTAAATGATCATGAAGAAGTTATTACAATTGATATGGTATCTCTTTTAAATTCTCTTTAGCAAAATGAGTAACGGAAATTACTATATTAAAGCACAATAATACTGAAGGAAAAAAATAATTGGATATAATAATTTTTACCGATAACATCGAGGAGAGCTCGCTTGCCGGAACCTTTCGATCCTAGAATGGCTAAGACTTCCCCGCCGTGAACACGGGCTGATACATCTCTGAGTACCGCGGTAGGTTCGGATTTATTAATGCAACTTCCTTCGATTACTACAGAGGTGGAATGAAACACGTTGGATATATCCAGAATGCAATCGGATGGAATCATCTTGAGGATCAATACTAAGTTTGGTTCCCACGATTACATTCCTCAAGATAAAGCTTACAAAGCTGTGAAAGTAAAGATTATAACATTATTTATTCGTATATCATGAATATTATATAATTTTTCTATTGTAAGATTTAATTTTATACATTAATTCCATCAAAGAGTAAATGTTATCAAATGCGAATTGATAGAGAAAAATTCGATTAAATAACTCGTGTAATTTAAAAAAAAAATTAATTTTGTAACACTATACGTCATTTTAATTATTATTCATGCTAGTACATTTTAAATTCAATCAAATTATGTGGAGGAAATAATAATTGTATGTAAATATACATTGTTATTATAAATAATTATTAATGTTATCAATTTAATAAAATATAAGTTATTTTTGTAAAACAAAAAATGATTAGATGTAGTTACATATAATTTAGTAATGTTATTAACAATTTAATCCGGATATTACTATAAATAATGTTGCTTGTACAATTAATTAGAAAACACATAAATTTTGCCACAATTAATCAAGGCGTATGATAATAAATAGTTATATTTTCTTTGAAATAAATTTAATTTTTATTAATAATATATATTTTACTAATATTTTATTAAGCTGAGATTTTCGAATAGGAATGTTTATTTGCATAACTAAGTAAAAGAGTTAATTATAACAAAAATTAATATAACATTTTTTTTATTAGGTAAAGAGATACAAACTTCGCAGGATGTTCAAGATAATATCCGTTGAAAATAACATTTGGAGTGCATCAAGAAGCAGAACTGTCACTAGATCCATGCGTCAATCACTTGACCATGTCCGGAGATCATGTTCAGGAACGGCACTTCAACAAAGAGACAACGTTGACGAGTTGTTACGAGGAAGTTTCGCAAAATAATAATTATTGCAATATACATCAACGATAACGCGAGAATACTTGTGTTGTCGAGTAGTTGTCGCGATGCGGATTGCAACGCGTACTGACGCCACGAGCGTAAAAGTGACTCGCTCGAGCGAAGCTGGGACGCAGGAAACGCGTAGCCGCAGGTAACGATACCTGGCTGGCTGGGAGTTGGCTCTCCTCGAGGTGAATGTCTTCTCCGACGCGAACTCGCGCGGTAGGAGGGAGACCGACCCAGGCCGAGAACATCGGCGTAAGCAGAGTGTCATGCGAGATTTTCCTAGAGACAATCGGAAAGGACGTTATCCGGATTCTTCTTCTGCGAAATATTCAGAAAATAAACATCTCCTGTTGTGTATAAATTATTTATTTGAATACAAGTTAGTAATCTTATATATTAATGTTACAAATCGGAAAGTCGCATCATAAAGCATTATAAAATATAAATTACGAAGGTTAAAGTGTACTTTCGATAGTATATTTTTTTAGAAAATAGCATGTATTAAAAATGATGTGCAATATTGTTTGAAAGTTTGACTTTAGCGACCAATTATTTTAAATACTTATGCCAAAAAAAATGCACAATATATTAAAATCATCCACTTCTTCCATCCCACAACTGTGTTCGATAATAATAAAAAAGCTAGAATTCTATTTATATATACCGTTACTCAAAAACACGTCGACGTAAATCTTTGTACATGAGCTGAAGAATAGCGAATAAAAATTTTTTTTGGCAAGAGAATCATCAGATAAAAAATAATATATTCAAGAAAGAAGAGTTGCGTGCATAACAGAAATATTTCAATATACTTATTTTACGTTGATTAATATGATTTGAATTCGAGATTTTATTTTATTTCCAGCTGAAAATTATATTTTTCCTTTCCTAAAACTGTTCTTCATTAATCGAACGCACCTTTTAAAATGTGCGGAAAGATAGCAAAGTGCACACAGAAAAAAAATAAGTGTCAAATCAAAACTTATATACTTAAATTAACGCGTTCATTGTTTCGTATATACGCAACAATTTATAATCTTCTTAGAAGAATTTAATAATTTTAAATTTCAACAATATTATAGTCTTATTTTAATATTGCAATTGTCATTTCAAGAATATATAATTATTTAATTCTGCTTTAAGAAAATTATAATCTTTGATTTAAAAATGTTATTTTTCATCTAACATTGTTTCTTTTCCATTCAAGGAAATTAAATCTTAAATCATAAGAATATATTTTTCTTGATTGAACTATATAAAATGGCTTCATTCAAGTAAGCAATTATTCAAGCAATTATATTTTTCTTTAATTAACGCAATATAATCTCATTTCAAGATTTCCATGTTAAAACTAAATATATAATAAATAAGAATGTGCTTTTTTTCTGTGCAGGGGATGGAAGAGCGCAGAGGGATGATGCAAAAGGGATAATCCTGGACGATCGTAGATCTAAAATCCAGAAGCGAGTTCACGCCACTGCGAACTTGGCAAAGCCGACGGTGGGGCGTCTGTGGGGCCCGGAGGGGAGGAAACTCGTGGGGGCCTCGGCGGGCCCGTCCGTCAGCGTTCGGACAGGACTCTGGCGAGTCGCGCGATACCTGGCGCTTCGCGTTCGCCAAGCGCTGCAGGAGGATTTTTCCCGGACAGGGAATAATCGACGACGACGACGGCAGCGGAAAAAATCGCGGGTGACGACGGAAGAGGGAAGAGGAAAGGAGATCGTTTCCTCGCGCGCGACGAGTGCGTCCTGTTGCGAGGAGTGCGAGTCTCTTCTCGGGCGCGAGGATCGAAGACCGGCATGGACAGGAGGCAGCAGCGTCGTCATCAGCGTCGTGACTCGACCAGCTTCCAAGGTTGAAGGCCCAGCGCGAATACACAGCCGGTGAGTCATTGTCAGCATGAAGATCATGCGGTGCAGCCTCCCTCTTTCTCTCTTCTCCTCGTCCTCGCGACGAACGCCGTGCGCGAATTTTTCGAGCCTGACGCAAAATTGCATTCTGTGCCTTCCATGCTCTGACATTGATTGGACTCGGTAGATTTCTGGATCAAGTGAAGATAAATTTCATGTCTCTGCTATTTTTGTTGATGGTAGAAAATTTCAAGCTTAGAGCAACATTCCGAAGGATAGATGATTCGTTTTATCCTGCGTCGAAATATTTTGCTTTTCCGAAAATTTTTTTGCTCTTGTTGCGCGTTTTTAGAGATTTATGGAATTGTAGAAAATAATTTTATTATCTTCTCCATGCGTGATATAATTACTATGGTTTTTTAAAATTGTGTGTGATATTCTCTATTTGAATGTTATGGATATTTATATTTAGGAGCACAATTTTTTCCCGCGTTTGCATAACATGTATAATAATTTCAAATATAAATTAAAAATGTGTGTAAATTATACGATCACAAAATTAAAATTTAAATTAATGTAAATTATTCATATCGAATTAGGCTCGATTTTAAAGATATTTCGGAAATAAAGCGAGAATTTGGAATCGACGTTTGAATTAACTAAATTTATAAATAATTATTTTTTAATATAATGTATAAGAATTTGAGGTTTCAAAGGGAGAGATGATAATCGCATAATTCAAAGTTTTTTGATTAACAGAATATCTGGCAAATCTTTTCTCGATACATTCGGAAGAAAGAGTCAATGACAAATTTTAAGATCTCCAACTTTTAACATTCAAAGATAAAAATCAATGATAAAGAAAAAAATTGTCAGCACATGGGCTGCTGAGCATTTCTAATTACGTATTAATTTCGATTACGCAATATGTGTTACGATTTTCCGAAATGAAAAGATATAAAACTATCTAGAATCCGCGGAGCGAATCAGCTGCCTTCAAAAAAGAAATAAGAGCGCGGTTGTTAATCACCTGTTGCTTTCACCGGCAAGCGTTTCTCGTTATGCAAAATCAAGTTTCCTTATCGTTGAACCGTGAATTAAAAGCTCGCATACCGCCCAAGTTAAGCAGCTCCATAAGTACTTTTTCCTCAAGGAAGCGGAACACGCGACCCACTGCTTGACAAGTAATCCTTAAAAATGCGTTGATATAAGCGCATGACATTTATATTACTTTATAATTTTCCTCTCACTTAAAAAACTACCAGTCGAGTTACTTTCAGTTTATTATATCAAGTAAAAAGTTGATAAATATAAAAAGTATAATAAATAGCATAATGAAAAGTATAATATATAATAAGCTTATATAAATATAATAAATTATAAATATAACAAATTATAATATAAGTGAAAAAAATAATTTTTTTTATACTTTACATCATTTGATGATTATCAATAAAATTATCAAAAGTGTAATAATATTAATTTATTATTAATAGTACTATTTCCACGAATGAAATAATTATTTATGGAAAGAAAAATTATAAATTACTTAAGTAATTTTTTCACGGAATAAAATATCTTGCAAAATGCATACAAAGCTCACGTTTCACCATATTCTAAACTATAGCAGCGCAATTTTCTATTATGTGTGCGCGTGAAACCACTATTTCTACTGTGTTACATGCGAACATAATGTCTTACTTTCCTGAGAATGGGCGGATTATTAGTCGATTAGATCACGAAAGCGCCTGATTTATGTCGATACAATGGAGAAATATAGTTCAAGAGCTCCTTTTTGAATTTTAGAAGAGAAACGAATAGAGCGAATAATAAAAATAATCATAAACTTTATATATTATAGATCAATAGAAAAAAATATATCGAAATCCGATTCGATCTTTTAGTTTAGAGATTTAGTCTCATATATAGAAAACCTTTATAATTTTATTATTCCTTTTTTAAAAATCTTGCGTGAGATATATATATTGTTTCTCTTTCGAATTTCTAACTGTTAGACAGCAATTAAGTAAAGAGTTGGGAATTAAGCATGAACATTAAGATAATTTAATTTCTCTCTCGCAATCAATTAACTCGGAAAAAAGAACTTTGGTTTCTACTAGTTTTACAATCTCCTCGTTATCTTGTACGTATCTTTATTCATATTTCCCAGCACGTTTTCCTTGCAAGTAAAAAGCAAAAGCGGTCCGAGCCGTCACTTCCTCCGTCGCATTCCTTGCATCGCGTTTCCTCGTTAACGACGCAAGGCCAGTCCGCAAGCGACGAGCAATCGCGAAGCGGAAAGAGGTAGAAGGGATTCAATCTCCGCTCACTTTGATCACTTTGGAGCAGGATATGTTATCGAAACGCAAATGTACAAATCGTATATCGCCGGCAATCTTGTTACCGGCGACAACGACAGGCGTTCTTTCGCGAAATCGCGAAGTCACGCCGGGTGACTTTAACGAGCGCACACGGCAGTGCTCTTCGACACTTCCTCGAGCGCGATGCGATTCTTCGAATGATTTGCAATTTCAATTAGTTCCCTCTCCCTCTCGTTGCGTTTGCATCCTCTCTCTCTATTTATTCTCTTCGCGGGGGGGCAAGGGAGGGGCAGGCGAATGAGAGAAGGGCTTCGGAGATTGCCTCGGTAGAATATTGAAAAATCTAACAGCAACTGACCTCGCTTGTATCCTGCATTCTCCGATGAAGTTTTGCGGTCCGATGGTTGCTCATCATCATCGCTTATAATGAAGCAGTAAAACATTGTCGGTATTCATGCGTGTTGCGTAATATTTTTATGATCGATTTATATTAATGGAATATTAATGAGAATGTTATTTAGTTTAATTTCATGTAAGGAACTTAATTAATATAAATAATAATTGTTAGAATAAAATAAAGGAGGAAAGATATTAGAGAGAAATGTGAAAATATCTTTCTACTAAAAAACAAATCATTCTCGATTCTCATTTCACTTAAAGCAAATTAAAGTTTCTTATTTTTTAAATAGAAAATCTTATTATTCGATCAATTAATCATGTTTCAATCACAAATTGTGTTACTTTTATAGCTTCTTATTAAGAAATGTTAATAGCAGATAAAAAAAGAGGAAATGCACGTACAACACATACTCTCTTTCCCTAAAATTGCAATCTCGCAACTAATGACGTTTAATTAATGGAGGTAATTAATTATGAATGCACTTCGAATCGTTTGAATTTCGTTTTACACGCGATATGTAGATCTCGACGATTTTCGGAACGTAGACTTTCCATCACGGTTTCTACAATCGCGTACTATTGCGTGCGCGGATAATTATACCCGTAATACTGTACAATCTAGGCTACGATGTACACTTTATTTAGGTACATGGACACGTGTGCACGGTTGACTGGCGTACACATGTAGGTATAGAAATCAGTGCGTGGGATAGTCTCACAGTAGATTCGAAAGATCACGAAATCGAGATATCGTTTCCGTTGTCTCGAGTCTGAGAGTCGAGAAACTCCTAAATAAAGCAAAGACATTCCGCGACTTGCAATTCGTAACTTGCAATTTTTATGTATTCTAAAAGATTAAAATCACTTCAACTACGTTGCCTAAGAAATTAAAATTAAAATTTATTTTTATTATTTATTTATTTTATTATTTATTTTATTATTATTTTTAAACAATTATTTTAATATTTACATTAGAAGATATAGATATTTAAAAGTAAAGTAATACTCTCTTTTATTACAATATTTCGGCAATATTGCAATATATCTCTCTCGAGATATTTAAATTTATAAATATAAAAAGAAAATACTTTTAATTCTATTTATATATACAATTAATTAAATATATTATTTTATATACAATTAATTAAATATATTATTTAATATATATTAATTAATTAATTAATTAAATATAATATTGATATAAATAAAATAGATATTATATTTTATATAAAAAATTGGAGAATACAGGTATATGAAATATTTTCGAGAGAGAATCGCGTGGGAAAAAGAATCCGCATCATCCGACGTCAACAAAACGTTCTCGTTTTCAACTCGCTTGCCCCTCCGATTACATTAAGCAGCGTGTCTGTGTATTCAGAATCGCGATGCGAATTCGCGATCGCCGTAACAGCGCGATCACGCGACCGGCGATTTTTCCAGTTACACATGTATCGCGCGTAGCCGCAGGCAAGGTACGTCCGAAGATGTTAGACGCGTCACTTTCCGCCTGCCTCCGACACGCTCAGCTGCGCCTCGCGCCCGTTTTTTCCGAGCGTATCATCGCCCGGCCTTTACGAATATCTCGTCGCGCACTTTCCTTCTCTCTCGCGGATACGACATTAAACGCCGGAAAAAAAACCGCCGTTCGCGGCGGACGACGTTTAATGGAGACTTCATACCGCGAAATCGCACGGTCGTCGCTCGATACAACTGTTGCAGAAACGGGATATGCAAATGAACAGTTAACCGGGCCGCGCGAGAGGCGGCTTTATCGACCGCCCGCAAAAATCACCGCGTTACGCAAATTGAAAAGTACGCAAGCATACATTCGATTAATATATTATACTTTGTAACAGGCATGTGCGTGTGGACATATATAGGATATCGTTATTTTATGCGCTCTCGACGCGTTTAAACGCTGGAAAAGTCGCGTTTGAAATATCACGAGACTCAAGCCGGTTTCTATTTCTAGAAACTCGCCTTTTCGAAAAAAAAAAGGACATTACGAGACACATTTGACGGACATCAAGAGAGTCTCGCGTGCGTTTCATCCATTATAATATAATAATAATAATAATAATATATAATAATAATAAAATAATAATAATATATAATAATATATAATAATAATAATAATAATAATAATACAATAATAATAATAATAATAATAACAATAATGATAATTATAATAATATATATTATTTATATATTGTATTGCGTGTATAAAAAATAATGAGGTACATTTCATAGGCGACTTCTCAGAGATGATTCAACAGGGTTTCAGATTAATTGCAGGATTTATATCGCGAGAGA